AAAATTAATTGTTGGTGTATTTCGAAAACCCAAAGGTGGCAAACAATGTGCTCCAGTCACGAATATTGGAATATCTTGCAGTGTTATCTTCACGTTGCCCTCATTCGAATACGTGGATATACCTTCAAAAGTGATTTACTTATATCGACTGGTTGACTTAGTTATCTCGACCGGTCTACTTGAATGTCTCGATCGGTCGACTTAATTATTTCGACCGGTTAAGATAATATCTCGACCAATCGACATAGTTATCTCGACCGGTTGAGATAATATCTCGACCGGTCGACATCGGTCTTATGAATAAAGTGTAGCAAATGCTCTTACTCTACCTTCGTCTCTTTTTGCTGCAGTAAAGCTGAATAATCTCAAACAACTTAAGTAATAGCATTTGCTTCTGTTTTATTCATATGGGCCAATATCTCGACATTCTCGACGGTTGACATAGAAAAAAAAATGTGGTTGACCTTTCTACGCTTCCGTAGGGGTGAAAATTAAAAAAAAAAAAAAAAACATTTTATTTCCCCTGCCGCAGAGAATAAATATCTGTACAATGTTGTCACATTGTTAAAATTTTTCTAAATTTAAATTCTGCGATAACTCCGAAAATACTAATAATTGACCCATGGTTCATAGGACAATTTTACCTTGAAATGGGCCATATTATCTTATGTTAAAATATTTGTACTCATACCTGATACACCTCGTATAAACTGGCTGCCTGACTGGCAAACTGCGCTTTATATACGAAATAATTTAATGGAGAAATCTCTTATATCACGTTTATGCTTGTTTATTTAAATCACACACCGGAAGGAATTCCTGTATCTTCCGCGACAGTGGCTTCTCCGCACCAATGCAATTTCGTAGCAATATTCAGATATGTGATGAAAATAAACTACCGTGGCCCTTATTATTTGCAATTTGAAGTATGTACATACAGCTTCCATATCCTATGTCATTTCAGATGCGATGGAAATATGAAAAAACTACCACACTTACCTTAAAAATCACATTTTTCATCGTTACGAAAACACCTGTTGCTAAAGCAAAAAAATCCTTTCTGCAGACTGATGATCCGAAGTACGAGGCGAACTATCAGTCGTGGCGATACCAGATAGTTAGCCGCACCTTTACCAGAAATTTTTAGACAGACATTCGCACCCCGCCGGTTTTCTGTGCACTACTCTCTCCCAACCTATCTTTTCTGACGAAACGCATCCGAAAATTATGAGCTACTTTTTAATGTGTTAACACACAATGGGAAATCCCCGCTTGCAGGTGTTACTTATGAATAAACCGAGCATTAGTTTTACATAAAAGAACGCTGCAATTTTGATATTAAGCTTTTGTTTTCAAGACTTGCTTGTAGCAATTTGCTCAGAATTTCCATGTTCTAAATAAAGTTGTTTTTTAAAATTAAAGTCTCTGATTCGGAAACTTATTTTACATATCCATCAGACAATAAAAATATTCCAGTTATTATAAATATAACGAGATGACTATTGTTTACGGTGCGTTATCACAAAAATTGAGCCAAAAGTAGAAAGACTTACCTAACACCGAAAATAAGACCAACAAAAAAGGGGAGATTTTTTTATAAATATAAAAAATACCTACTTAATTCAAACCTGGATTAATAATTCTAAGAAATAAGAATGCAGACATTTACAGTGGACAAGATCAAAAACGACAGAAGAGACCAGAGCCCAGATACACATTGAAAGACCGACCAGGGGCCCGATTCTCGTCTCAAGGAGAGGAGAGCTCAAGAGAGAACAAATTTTTCGTCTTTATCATTCTCGTTCACTTTTCGATTACGTTCACAAGAACAAAAAAATCCGTTCTCTCGGGGAGCTCTCCTCTCCCTGCGACGAGAATTGGGCCCCAGGTCGAACAGAGGTTTGGAAACGCTGATAGGAGTCAGAAGCTGGGAAGCCAAGAAGGGAGAAATGGAAAAGTGTTGAAACTAATCGAAAAATAGGCAAAGTTCTCCATGGAGTTTTAGCCCGAAAAATGATCAAGATATTCAAGAATCGGTTTATTTAAATCATCAACCTGCACGAAATGTGCCTCGCAGATTCATAACTCGCCTGGAATTTCCCTTGTTTCTTAATTTATGTTGATACGTCAATTTATTTCTGGTACTGGAACTAGACAACGATCCAATGTATAGGTCTGCCCCTGCCTGTGCGTTGCTACTGGCACACTTTTGCGACGAATCGAGCTGCATCAACTTGGCATAGACAACCTGACATTTTCTAATAAAAAATTGGGAATAGCTAACGCTCGCCAAGTGCTGCAAGATGCTGCTAAAAACAATTCATAATATTAATTTATTATCACGTTATCCCCAATTATTTCTTCCGGGCCATGTTGATGACAGCCCGGACAAGTCAGCATTTCTTAATCAAAAATTGAGGTCCTCTAGTGCTCCTTGTTCAGGGTAAGTCATGTACTTTTGTGTCTTATTATAAACTTAATCAGTAGTCAAGTTTTTGTCTATTTCACCTTTCTTTTAATAAAAAGAGACCATCAGTAATTTAGTTATCTGATAGGGTCCTACATCCAGGCCTAGAATTGGTCCCAGTCACTAAAGCGGCGTGCTTCCCTAAACTTCATGTGCCCTCACTTCTGAGGTCTTTTTCATGGTCCCTGATGGATAGGGCCTATCGACCCTGATGACACCTCGACTTGGAAGTAGTGACCGCAGGTTTCTTCACGTCTAAATTTTACCTTTTAAATTATATTTTTATTGAGCAAAACCCAATTGGAATGTCCCATTTCCATGTTCAGTTCGCTGTTCGGCTGCGCATGAGAATTTTCAGAGCAGAAAGACTCAACGAAGTCGTTTTATATTTTTTATTGAGCATTACCTAGTTGGAATGTCTCATTTCTATGTTCAGTTCACTATTCAGTTGAGCATATGAATTTTCAGAGCAGATAGACCCAACGAGGTCATTTTATATTGTACAGGGTGTCCCACTAAGGAGGTCGGCAAGGTACGATATTATGGAAACCATAGACCTTACGGCTTTGGGATTTTTTTTCCTTACTAAATCGGCCAAGAGAAATTGATGGAATCTATTTTCAAGTTTCTTAGATGACCGCTAGGGGGCGCAATTACGACGATATAACTAAAAATTCAAAGTTTTTCAAGAAATCGCTATATTAAGATACTGTTTTAACAACAGAAATCGAAAGTTCATTAATTATTGCGCCAGTTTGGTTATTAGGCTTTTTTCCTATCTTCACTAATAAGGATGGGGGAAGCTAGTGAAAAAATAGTTTCAAAAATTGCTGTATTTTCCTTTTATTCAAACTCATTCAATTTGGGCTTATTTGAAAGAGAATTTCATTGTTATTAAGGACACCATTTCGTTCGGGGTCGATATTTCCCACCGCGTCTTCTAGAGGGCGCTTTTTAGCCAAGATCCAGTTTTCTCTAATTTTCTTGAAAAATCCAAATGACATGATATTATTTTTTTATTGCTGTGCTTAATGAGCAAAAAAATATCTACATTTTGTCGCAAACCGTAATTCGATATCTGCATTCGTCTTCAAGTTACGTAAGGTTACTATGGTTTCCATAATATCGTACCTTGTCGACCTTAGTGGGACACCCTATATATTTTTTATTGAGCATTGCCTAATAATGATAATGTCTCATTTCTATGTTCAGTTCGCTGTCCGGTTGAGCACATGAGTTTTGAGGGCAGATAGACTAGTAGAAAGGGTCCTTATTTAAATGAAATGATCGATCATTATTATTATTTTACACAATAATATTTAGTTAAGTGTACTAAGTACTGGGTTGGAATCAAATTATTCTTACATTTATGATTCTCATCAAATTGAAATCCTGGATTTTGTAATTTTTCATTAAACTCTTATTGAAAATAATTTAGTGGAGAGCATTGCTGTATTATTTCTTTTTATACATAATATTTCAGATTTAATATTGAGGTCTATTTCGAGGTTTCAGACCTTATAAATAAAAACTTCGTGGCGCCCTCAGTAAACTCTCCTTAAACACGACCAGAAATGCTGGGTTGTCCGGGCCAAGTTGATGGAGCTGACGAATCGTCATGTTTTCAAAAACGCATTGGGGAGGTTTTTTCAGTTACGTAGTAGGTATACATAGAGTTTGCTGGATCTAAGATACTGTATTTAATACGTGGGCTGTTCTAGGAAATATGAGGTTTATAAAAAAATCGGTGCACATTTTAACGTAGGTTTCTACATAAACGAAGATTTATCTAAAATGTTCACAGGTTTGCGATATATGGGATAACTGCTTTCGCACCACTCGTCGAACTAGAGATTCAAAGGACTGTGGTTGTCAGTTTGCCCTCCTCCATCGAGCAGAAGAAACCTAGCAACAAAGTATCGGCGGGATCGGGGAAAAATCTGAACAATATTCTTCTCCCGACCACGTCGAGCACCTCACACCGGTACATAACCGGGTTAAATATCTATTGGCCGAACACGAATCTATGTTTGGTGTAGTTGAAGGTTCAATAATTTGCGATACTTATACTGTAGTCGATATGAGGGATGATGCCCAATTGATTTCCGTAAGTCGCGCACCACTTGTGTGTTTTTGCACTCGGGAGGTTTGAAATAAAACATGGACACTTGCTTTTTTGCTAAATACCGAAATATGTATCATCAACAAGCTTTTAAGCAGCTGGTAGAAAATATGTGATTTTGCACTTCAGGGTATAAAATAAAAAAGGTAATGCTTATTACTAGGAACACTGTCGCTGCATATTGCTTATACTACAAAGATCCAGACGTTCACATTGCTAATGGTTTTTAAATAATTGAAAGTGTCAGATTTAGGTCCATTGGAAAATCTGTGAATAGGTTCTGCTTTTCACTGTAATGTTCTCTTGCTAAAATTAAGGATTTTTATATGGCTTATATACAACAGTGAACTAGACATTTTTGGGTGTAAAAAACGCATAACTTTCGACTATTTTAGTTCTTCTTTTTTTCAGGTTCATGCTCAACCGCCTCGCACCCCACGTTCCCGCATAAATTCAGCGATTTTCGTATCAAACAGCGGTCCAGGAATAGACACGAAAGAATTTTTTAGACGTTACGGCTCCGTATCGAAATTGTGTCGAAAAGCCCGAAGTGTGGACAATATATCTTTGGAAGAAAAAACTTTTGGTTTACCCATGCTTTCTATAAGTGGTCCCTCGCCCCCAGAGGATGAAGAAACAGAGATAATGGAAACTGAAAGGTTTTTAGCATAAATGCGTCAATTAAAATGATTATGATGACCTAAAAAAAACAACGATTGTTTTATGTAGCTTTAAAGAACGAGTGATTAAAAGGTAGGACCATTAGTAATAATAATATTCTTTATAATACCTTGTACTCCTAAAACAATTTTACCTTAAATATATACATAACGAATACTTCAAAAAATTGCACAAGTTAGGGTCCAAATTAGATTTTTCGCATATCTGTATATCTACATCATTTTTTTTTTTTTCTGACAGTGTATATGTATCATAACTTTTTTGTATATACTAACTAACTATAATTAGGTATAACGAGTCTCCAAAAAAAAAAATTAAAGATTGCTATGGTTTTTTAAAAGTATGTCTTTAGGAATATTTTTCTTTAATTTTGTCAAGGATAGCAATCTTTGATTGGTTTTTTTTTGAAGACCCGTTATCTACACCACTATTATATTTAGAAGTAGTGATTTAGAATAATTATTCGATAAGAGTGATTTGAAGTACTGACTTTTAAATAAAATATTTTTTATCCAGGGCCGGATTTTCCATTTGGTGTGATGGGCAAAGGACTCAAAAAGAAAATAAGTATAGGGGGAAATAAAGGAAATCGAATATTTAATATAACGAGACGTCTACATGAAACTTTGATCGATGGATATTAGTATTTTATAACAGTTTTCTGCATAAGAAACATCCTTCTATTATGAAATATCCTATCTTGTTTAATAATAATATGTTCAATATTTCTCCGGCCAGACTTTTTCTACGGTTGGTTGGCCGTGAAGCGCTTTAAGCCACCGGAGCTCAGATGCCATTTGGCTCACACTCTAAAGAGTCTTGGCAGTGCACTGCAGGAGCAATTTCACATTTTTCAATCTTCTCTCTGTGTAACTCTGCCAGCAGCAGTCCAATGGAGTTTGAGTAATCTTTTGCAAGGACTTTCCTAGTCGCGTTGTCTTAATAATCCCCTCACAGGAATTTCTCCAGGATTCCCTTCTAGACCCTCTCAATTCCTTGTAATTTGTTAGAGCAGTTCTGTATTCACCTCAGTTGTTGGTGCGTTTTGCCTTATTGGATAACCTTCTTGTTTTAGCCCTGGGCTCTCCTGTTCTACCAGGGCGTTTTCGAATCTAAGTACGACTCATTGTTTCACAGGACAGCTGTTCTCATAGGCTCTTATTACTAGAGTGATATTCAAACTAATTTTCTGTTTCGCGTACATTGGGATAGTCGGCTACTTCTGCTTCTAGTAGGTCTTTGTATAGGCCACAGTCAGTGAGTTTTGGGTTTCTATGCTCGAGAAGGCTTGTTCCTGCGACCTCCATATTGAATCTTATGTGTTTGTGATCCGACATCAATATTTCGTTCGAGACGTGCAAGTTTTATTGGTATGCCAAGGTTAAATCTAACACTTCTTATTTAGCAGTAGTGCTGCCCTTACATGATATTGTTGGAAGTTTTATTCGTGTACCATGTGTTCATGGCTCCTGAATGAGGACTATGTCTAGTTATTCTTAGGTGAATCTGGAGCTTAGCACGTCAAATGCAGCTTTTGCGTGTTGCAGAGTCGCACACTTTACAAGGAGCCATTTTTTACAATTACTCCTTGTTGGGACCTTTAGAATCCCTGGTTTTATTGGGTCTTTTCTCATAGGGGTTTTGCCCTTTCCGTTGCGAGTGTTACAGACTCCCTGGGGCCTGCCGTTCCGAACACCGAGGCCCCGGCCGCCGCAGCAGCATCAGATCCGGACATTTTTTTGGGACTGTCTTTTAGGGTCCTTGTCTAGAGTTTATCCGAAGCTGATCGAATCGGTAGGCCATTCCAAACTTTTCCTTTTCAAGTTCCCATATGACTGATGGCCTATGGAAACAGTTAGCTGATCAGAGGTTCCCTCGGTCACTCTACTGTTGAGGACTCTCCAGTTCCCAACGCGTAATCCTTTGTTTTAGCCTTTTATGAGACCAAGTATTAGTATTCCTTTGTTGGGGCTATTTGCACTATTGGGAAATTTTCGCACAAGGATTTGCGGCCGAAAAATTTTCTATTCCTCTTTTTCTCAGTGCAGCACCATCTCAGGGCTTTAGGGTCTTCGCCGTTTGGAATAGCCACTTACTTGTGTCAACAGTGTCACCATGAGAAGGATGCAGCCAATGGCGATCCTGCCGGGATACCTCAAGGTCTTGGTAGCAGCGGCTTTATGATTTAGAAAAACCGACGAAAGCGCCTGGGAATTTGCCCGATATGCAGCTAACCCGAAACCCCTTGACTCATACGCTAACCGGAATGAGTTGTTTCGAATCTAAGCAGGATTTCCAAAAACCGTTATTTTACCGCAGCCCTATTCTGTAACTTGCGCCCGCAGAGAATTGCGCAATCGTCGCTGTCAAATCGTTGTCAAACGTGTGTTTTCTATATGTTTTCTATTCAAAAAAAGCAACTGGCGACCGGTTGCTAGTTGCTATGTAATTGCTGTTCGTTAGAGAATAAGCCTGCCGATTGCTTAACCAATATGGCAAACGGAACAGACCCCCGTCAGTTAATTTCAACGATATTATAAACGTTTTCCCGAATGTTGTTAGAGTTCTGCATTTATTATCAACTATATCAGTTATCAGTAATGCCCCAGAAGAAAGAATATCCTCTAATTTAGAGTTAATTGAAAATTATATGGAATGTGAAAATTGCAAAATATACTTATTGATGATTCATTTAAGCCCTGTGGATGTTTCGATGCTGGATTTGTATCCTCTTCAGGGTTAGATCAAAAACTATCACCGTCGGTAGAGGAAGTTCCTGTTACGTAACCGGAGACATGTGGAATTGACTGATATCAGGCCAATCACATTAAAAACAGGTATTTGACATCACAGTCACAAGGAAAATAATTTTATTGCTCAAAATATTTGAAAGGATCTATTAAAAATGATAAAATAAATGCCCTGCAACAAAAAGTACCGAGTTGCTGACAGACAATATATATTTCACTTGTGAGATTGAATATGTTTAACGCGATGCATGTAATATCGATAGTTATAACACATTTAATTTATAGTTTAGAAATATCAGGAAAAAAATGTTTTTCCTAGTAGGTATCTCAGAAACGAAAAAAACACTATACGTATCTATATTGGAGGTAGTCATTAAAAGATGAAAACATTCTCTAATTTTATCAAGCTCGTAATAGGGTTTTTAGTTAGGGGTGTTTTTTAGGCGTAATTTGCGGTTTATGGACAACGCTGGTCCAAGGGATGATCCAATAGCAAAAAGTTTCAAATGATTGTTGAGCTGAAGTTTTTTGCTATAAAAATCTCCGCATAGTAGCATGTTTTTGTTCAAGGTTACTGAATCAGCGTTTCGCCTGTTTGCGCGCATTTTGTGCAGCAGCGGCCGAATGCATAATCCGATTTTAATTGTTCAAACACCACGTTATTGCTAATGAAATGCACTCTCCAATGCTTTTTTGTTTGAATTTTTGCTTGAAAATTAATCGAGCACGGACTCGCCTAATAGAAACTTGTGAATTACATCGAAAACTACCCCTTTCTTGCATTGACTGTAATTTCTAAACGGGGCCAAATATTTGGTGACAGTTTTCGACAATCGGCAGCCCATTTATTCCTCTCATAATGCCCCATTTTTTTTAGTTAATTAGGTACTCAATGACTTATTCGCCTGAACACGTCGCGCGGAATTTTTCACAAAGTCAAAAAAAAATCAAAATTGTTGCACAGCGCTGAAATTTGGTGCGATGGCTTTATTTTCATTTTTATTTGGAGCAGGGAGTTTTTTATAGCAAAAAACTTCAACTACAACAACCATTCGGAACTTTTTGCTATTGGACCATCCCTTTGAGCAGCGTTCTCCAAAAACCGCAAATTTCGCCTAAAAAAACACCCCTAACTAAAAACCCTATACTGAAGTAGTATGTCGCAAACTCAATATATCTATTATTTAGCATATTGAAATGTTGAGGTAACCCCCATTTTCAGATCCCTGTTTCTGGGACTACAAGGTTTATGTATCTTAATATTCGTCTTGGCATGCCGCCATCTTTTTAGAAAGATATTAATTTACTCAATAACTTACTTCGTGAAATAACTTCGACATAGTCAATATGTTTGAGAATCTGTTGATCAGTGCGTGCGAGGATCAGCTGAAAACGCAGAGAGGCGAAAATCAATATGACGGCTAGAGGATGCGTGAACTCGTCCTTAACTCATCTGAACACTCCTGTGTTTGGATTATCTGATAATTTTCGTTCTATTGTTGTCCTCAATAATAATTTATATTTTGACTATAAAACAAAATAAACTCCGTTATGATTGGATTATGGTGTTCTTTTACTGCCTAGGACTCCGGGAATCGGGTCCTTAAGCCATAAAAAATAAAATAAGATAGGTAACTTGTTATAATATGGCAATATTGTATCAATAAATTAGAGTGTAATATATTATAGATTCCTATAACTGAGAAGGCATTTTTTTGTGACCTCCATATCGAATCTTGGAAACGCGCCAGTTTTTAATTTGGTAGATACGTATAGTGTTGCCAAATAAGAGTCTTCAGACAAGTCCTTTGTAATGAAACATGGAAAGTTAATAAGGTTGATTTTTTCTTATCAAGCAGTATTGCTGCCCTTATGGGTGTTCATGAATTTTCTTTCTATTGTCCTCAATTTATATTTGGACTATAAACCAAAATAAACTCCGTTATGATTGGATTTTGTGTTTTTTTACTGCCCTAGGAAATCTGGCCCTAAAGTTATAAAAAATAAAATAATTTTATTTAAAATGAGATAACTTGGTATATTATGGCAATATTGTTCCTATCGATAAATTAGAGTGTAATAGATTATAGATTCTTATAACTGTAGCCAAATTTAGAAAAAAAAAATATATATATATATATATATATCCAAAGATTTCTAGATATTCCATCCAAACGTACATTTTCTTATAGGAGGATTCAAGTTGAGACTTGGACTAATTTATTTCTATCTGTCGATTTGCAACTCTCGAATAAAAGAAATCTTAGATTTTCATTTAATGGGACGTTACAATGTTTTAGGGACTGCCACATGTACCTACCTACGTAGGTACTCTTAGATTGTCAATTTGTACTTTCTAAAAAAAAATTAAAAAATTGTTGCCAGAGTTCGATAATAAGACATCTGAAAAAACTACCAGCCAAATTTTAAAATTCACTTAATCAAGAGTTCTAGATTGCTAAATAAGTAGCTACCATTACTTTCTCCGAAATTACTTATTTAAAGAATAATACTGTAGAAAATACTAATAAATTAGATAATATGAACTATGTACTTACTTAGTTTTAATATTAAATTATTGTGAAGCAATTTATACAGTATTTTCAAAGTGTGAATATTTTAAAATAACCTATTTTAAATGTACAAATATTTGTTTTGGAAACATATCTTCTTATTGTGATAAAATTTAATAATTAATATTATTTGCCATTTTTGTTACATGACCACTTTAAACATTGAGCCAAAGGTTATGAGTCAAATCATTTTAACTATTAGTACCCACTTTATTCGTTATTACTCAATTTCTTCACTAATGCTAAAAGATTCTTTTAACAAAAAAAAAAAACAAATAAATAAAAATAAACGTAAGGGACCACTACTGTGATTATACTAAAAATTAATATTTGTGCATTGATAATAGGAATTTTCATTTTCCTCCTGGTTTAGATTAGTTTTTACATCCGAACAGGTGGATGTTGCAATGAATGAGAGATCCATCTGGTAGGTGTACCTATAACTTACCCTTCTAGATCAGAAATCAGATAAAAATCTGGAAGTAAAGAGTTCTTAAATATACAAAAGTTATTGGATCATTATCCAATATTTGCTATATAAAATATTATTATTATTTTTTTCAATTTGCCTTTATTTTCAGATAAATGTCAATACTCAAATATAAATAATGTGCAGTTTATCTATCAAAATTAATAATATCGAGAATAATGTATATCTACCTTGACTTAAAAACTAAATTGCATATTATATCCGACTGTTAGTTAAGTTCACATGTTTCAAATATATTATATGTAAAAAAAGTGAGGCGTGTTTTATTTTTTGTACCACATGGAGATATCGTGGAAATGGTTACTTGTTGGAACAAAAAGATCAAAAAACATTGTATTTTTTTGCCTTTCCTACCAAAAAAATGTATGTCACGGTCACGAGTTCCGCAGGTCCACTAAAACTCTCTCCACCAACAACAACAAAATTCTATTGAACTTATCGACTTCATAAACTTCACTAATCACTCATCGGTTTAACTTAGCTATATACAGTAATTCTTCTATTTAAACTACCTCTTACTTCTAAAAATGACGCGCTTTATATACGAAACCAATCAAACAGAAAATCTAGAACCATTCTCGCAAATTCTTGCTATTCAATGTACACAATGAGAACCAATTCCTGAATACTTCCTGGTCATGAAAATTGGCTTTTCCACATAATGTCATTTCGAAACACTGTCTCCCTCTAGTCCGTCTCAAATTAGATCATTCCGATCTGACAATTTTTCTCGTGATATAAACTTTCAACCTGTAAAGACGCACCAGCTTTATCTCGCCTTTGGGGCCGCGTTGGATTTGGTACACCACATCGTTGAGTCTTTCTGTTATCGTGTACAGGTCTTCTCATACTGAAGTCAGCTTCGGGGATCTACCTGTGTTCATTTGGGGATTAAAAAACCAATGATCTGTCATTCTTGTAGAAACCTGCAGAGTTTGCTTTGGATCATATCTCGATTTGATTCGGTCATTTGCGAATTCTATCGTTTTCGAATAGATTGTAGAATGCGTCGTTGCCTGGTGCTGTTGGACATCAGGCAACTACCTGATTGGTCGACTTCAGAGAGTGTCTCTTGGTCCTGAAACTTCATCGTTTGTGGCAATTAATCGTGGGGTGCCTCAAGGCAGCATCCTGGGACCCTTACTCTTCTCGGTCTACACAGCTGACCTTGGAGCTCATCTAAAGTATCTCTCATCTCACTAATACGCGGATGATACGCAACTGTATTGCTCGTTTTCTCATGATATGGTTCACTTGGCCCAAACTTGCATTAATGACGACTTGGATACAATTTTCAAATCGTCGATTGCCCATGGCTTGCTATTGAACGAAGCTAAGACTCAACTACTTGTTTTTGGCAGGAATCACACTAAGCTTCTAGGTGATCAATTTACTGTTAAACTAAATAAAACTATAAAACTAGGAAGTTAATACATCAATACGAACGGTACCAAAATTCGTTTCTTTGCATGTAACTAGGTTGTATCCAAACACAAAACCTGAGGAGCTGCAGAATATGCTCATACGTAAGTTTCCTGATGTTATTTGCGAGCCTCATGAATCCAAGTATCCAGATAAATATGCTCCACGTAAAGTGTCAATTCGTCAAGAAAACTTCAAAGATGCTTGGAATAGAAATGTTTGGCCTGTTGGGTCAGTTGTTTCAAAGTTTTTTAATTTTGCGACTCAGCCAATAGTAGAACGCCAAGCCGATCATCAATACCATACACAACAATAACAGGGCTTGGATGTGAGATTTATATTTATTACCAGAATGTTAGGGGGCTCAGGACAAAAACTGAAGAGCTGTATAATATTGTCTTGTGTGAAGACTATTACTGTATACTATTAACTGAAACTTGGTTGAATCAAGGTTTTCAGGATGATGAACTGGTGGACCACAGGTATAATGTGTTACGTAGGAATAGGAGACTGAGATTATTAAGACTGACTGTGATATAGAGTGCATTTTGTTAAAGCTTAGGGTGAAAAAAGTTATCCTTTATTTGTGTTGTCTATATTCCGCCAAATCAAAATGCTGACATTTATAATACATTCTTTGGATATCTGTCAGAAATAATAAGTGATAATAGTAAAATCATATTGATAGGGGATTTTAACATACCCGATATTGAAGCCAGTGGCTGTGATAAATCTTTTATTTGTCACTCATTTGTAAAACGTCACTTATCAAGTCAAAACATAACCAGTGAAAATTGATTTTTACAAGCTACTGGCTCTACTGACTTGTAAAATTGACAGCTAAACTGTAAAAACTTTTTACAAGTCAGTAGAATTATTTATTTTTGAAAAATCGGTTTTATCACAAGAATAATTGCTTGTAGGTACCTTCTGGGAGACTTTTCTGGTGATAAACTGTTGGCTACGACTGCAGCTTCATTAATAATATCTTGTAATAAATTCATTTCTGGAAAAAAAATTGCAAAATGGAAATCTGTCAAAAAACCTATTTATAACTAGAAACAACGTCTTAACAACGTATCATTCTCATAGTTATACCAACTACCAAAACTTCTGTGAGAAAAAATCAAGGAAAAACATATAAATTTCAAATTTTTGTTATGTAGTGATTTTTTATTTGTCCCTATATCTTTTACAAATGAGTAACAAATAAATTATTGTACATTATACGCCAGGTAGCAGTTTTTACTGGCTCTTGAAGGTGACAAGCTCGCCTGGCGGCTCGCTAGTCATTTCCTTCAATCGCCAGTAAAAACTGTTTTACCTGGCTAATAATGTAAAATACTATTGCTTTACGTAATTTCATTTGTTTAAATAACTTGTGTCAGTATAATAAAATCCTAAATATTAGGAACAGGAAGCTTGATCTTGTATTGTCCAATATAGAAATTTCTCAGCTAGAAAAATGTGAAACCTCTTTATTCTGAGGACTATTATCATCCTTCCTTGTGTATGTTAACACAAGTGAAATGTCAAAGGGATGGTGATGTTAATACTATATTACCTTCTTGTAAGTATGATTATGCAAATGGTAGGTAACTTTTTGGGTCTGTATAATGCTATTAAAGAAACTAACTGGCATGATCTTTTTACAAATTCTGATCCGAACAGATGTCTAGACCTATTCTATGACAATATATATAGTTGCTTGGATAATACAGTACCAAAAAAAACAGTTTCTAAACATAGTAAACATTGTAAATATCTACAATGGTTTTCAATCGATTTGGTGGGAAACATTAAGCATAAAAATAGGTTACATAACCGAATAAAGCGTGGCAAGGCTAGTTTATATATTTTTGATGAGCACAGGAGAGTTAGATCCATTATTGAAAAGCAAATCGATAGAGAGTTTTCTGAGTATATTGTAACGACGTTACAATATAAAAAAATATAGAGGACAATATAAGATAGGATCCTAATCCTAACAGATTTTGGAAGTTTGTAAATTCTAGATCTAGGAAACCTGGTATACCAGGATGTATTACTTATAATGGTTCGACTATAGAGGAGCCAGATCAAATTTCAGAAGCCCTGGCAATTACTTTGCATCAGTTTATGGATCTCAATCACCCACTTGTTCTTATTTTGATATGGAAAGGATGCATACCATTTCATGAAAAGCTACCTAATATCGCGAATGCAAAAAGTTCGAGTTGGCACTTCCCTTTCACAAGCTTTTCCAGCAACATCTGGAGTTCCACAGACTAGTAATTTGAGCCCATTGTTGTTTTTAATGTTTATTAACGATATTGTTAGCGTTGTTAAAGAGTCAGAATGTCTGTTATTTGCAGATAATTTCAAGATTTTTAGGTGTGTTACAAATGATAACGATTGCGTTGCACTTCAGGATGATCTGAACTCAGTTTCTGATTGGTGCAGAAGAAATAAAATGATGGTTAACTCTAAAAAAGTTTCGCTATGTCATTCACAAACAAAACTAATCCTATTGTTTTCATATTTAATTGATAACAATGAACTTCAAAAAAAGACTGAGTGCATGGATCTTCGGGTGTGCTTTAAGATCAAATCAAAATTATGAGTACGTTATTAACAAAGCATATAGATATCTTGGATTCATTATGCATAACACAAGGCGATTTAATGATATGGGTGTCGTGATTAGGCTTTATAATGCTCATGTTCGTTGTTCAGACTTAGAATATGCATCAGTTGCATGGTCTCCGCAGGCAAAAACACACTGTGATACAATTGAACGCGTTCAAAAAAGATTTCTAAGGTTTTTGTATGTCAGAAAAAATAATATATATCCGTATCTAGTCTCATATAGAAGCATGTTGGATGACTTCAAGTTCCAGACATTGGAAAAAAGAAGGCAGATACAGTGTGTGCTGTTTATTTATTATGTTATCAATGATATAAAAGCTCTGTTCCAACAGACATGAGAACCATTCTAGAACGGTCATTTCCAGTCGATTAATTTATTTTTCAATTAGGATAAACGTTAAACTTATTGAAAAATAGGTGGGCAACTGGAAATTACTGGTTCTAAAATGCTTCTCATGTCTGTTGGAACAGAGCTTAAGTACAATAAATGTTCCTTAATTAACTATATTCTTATACATGTATGGTCAAATTCACGATAGAAAAAAAAGTCGACTGACACTTTGACAATCCTAGTAATTTTTTTCTGTAGGTTGCCAGCATTTGTTAGCGCTTCGATTCCGAGGTGGGATAATGAAAGAAGAATGAAAATTTATTATCAATTTCTTTAGGGGAAGTTAAGTTATTAAAATCCTGCATAGTAATAATAAACATCAATTAATTCTATGTAATTTTCGGCATTTCTTTTCAAGAACAAAAAATCAATTAGACAGGTTATAAAGAACACGTGGCTTTGGAAATAAAACAAATTTATTATTTTTAAACTTTAATTATGAACATTGATTATTTTAGGTCTTGTTTCAATGATATAGAAACGTGTCAACCAGAAACAGAAGCATTCCATGCATCCAGAATTCTCCTGAGGTTGGCAAAAAAGCTTCAAAAATAAGTACGATTAAGATATCTTAATTTCTAAAAATAAACTAGAAAATTTCTGATATAAAACGAATTAATGATTATTAATTGAATAATGGAAAATTATATCAGGGTTTGTGGGGCTTTTCTTTCAAACGGCATAGAATATTAACAATCTTAATTTCTATAAATGATAAACGAAGCCATTTCTGAAACAAAACGAGTCAATGGATAAATTAAATAAGTAATGAGAAAATTTTACCAGGGTTTG